GTTGCACTCAGTGAAATTTAAACGTAGTCGAGCAACAGTGTCCTGAAACAATTCCATTTTACACGGCTATATAATCTAACTATTTAACTTGGTGAAGTGTTCGTATAACCGTGTGTGTGTGTGTGTGTGTGTGTGGTGAAATGTGCCTTAAACACAGAGCTGCCATAAGATTCATCTAACTTGTAACTTCAATCTTTACCTTTAGAATGTTAAGATGGAGGCCACTAAGAAGACCAAAGTCACAAAAGTGGAAAAAGCAGCTGTTGAAAAACCAAAAGATGTTCCTAAACCTGAGGTGAAGGTGAGTTGCATGCCAATAGCTTTTCAGCTGTTGATGTACAAATGACTGCTGGGTGTGGTATTTCTAATGTTTGAGATTTCCACTATTTCAGGTTCTGCCTGAACCAGCATCACCCACTCCGATGGAGACATCTGGCTGTGAGCCTGCTGACCTCTGTCAAGCGTTTTCAGATGTTATACTAAATACTGCTATCAGGGATGTGGATGCAGGTGACCATGACAACCCAATGCTCTGCAGTGAATATGTGAATGACATCTACAAGTACCTCCGACAGCTTGAGGCAAACTATTTTAATTTTCAGATTGGATTTTATGTGTCAGGTATTGCTCCCATTTTGGCTTAAATATTTTTTTTATTTTTTTTTTCTCCTCAGGCTGAGCAGAGTGTTAGATCCAGTTATCTGCAGGGCCAGGAGGTGACGGGTAACATGCGAGCCATTCTCATTGACTGGCTAGTGCAAGTGAGCCTGAAGTTCCGTCTGCTGCAGGAGACCATGTACATGACTGTTGGAATCATTGACCGCTTTCTTCAGGTGTGTGTGATTGCATCAAACCCAAGTCTGGCTTGTCTCTATTGCTCTGCATGAAATGACCTCTACTACATGATAAAATCCTGGCCTCCTCGTTTTACTCTATCTTGCCCTCTTCTAAAATTAATTGTTTTCAACAGGACCACCCAGTCCCCAAGAAGCAGCTGCAGTTAGTCGGTGTTACAGCCATGTTCCTTGCATCCAAATATGAAGAGATGTATCCCCCAGAGATCTCGGACTTTGCATATGTGACAGACAAGGCTTACACCACTGCCCAGATCAGAGACATGGAGATGACAATCTTGCGGATGCTTAAGTTCCAGCTAGGCCGCCCTCTTCCCCTGCAGTTCCTTAGAAGGGCCTCAAAGGTTGCTGAGGTTTGTAGCAGCAATTTAGCCCAGAACTTGCATTCAGTGGCTCTTGCCTGTCATATTTAACCTGTCTTGCTTCTCAGGTAACTGCTGAGCAGCACACCCTGGCAAAGTACCTCCTGGAGCTCACCATGGTTGATTATGAAATGGTTCATTTCCCACCTTCCATGTTGGCAAGTGCTGCGTTGGCTCTCACCCTCAAGATCTTGGATGCTGGAGAATGGGTGAGTACAGAAGTTTACAGGGTCTACATAAGCTTGTACTTTCAGTCCATTATAGCTCAGTTGTGTGGGTGTTTTTTTTTTATTTTATTTTTTTATATAAATACAGGTTCTAAACGTTTAGACGGCGTCATCTTACATTTGTGTCAAAGATGGCTTGAGTTAGAGATTTACCAAGTGGTATGAAGGGTAACCTCTGGTTGGTACTGTTCAGTGATCTAATTATGGAAGTGTTTCCAAAATTACCTAATGTCTGGTTTTCAGTAAGCTAATACTGGCTGTCCAAATCTTGTAAAGGAAGGTATATGAATTGAAAAGGTTAACTTAATCTAAATCTTGAAATTGGGATTAATTGTTATGAACTGTACCCTTAGGATGCGACACTGCTGCACTACATGGACTACACTGCAGAGAGTTTGATTCCTGCGATGGCACATATTGCCAAGAATGTTGTCAAAGTGAATGATGGACTGACCAAGCACCTGGTAAGTTAACAAAACTTGTTCTGTACCCACCCAAGTTGACCAGAAAAAAGACTTTGTGTAATAGGTCCATATAGGAATGGTAGACTCAAACACAAGGCATAGTTCAGACAGACTTTTGGACATGCTTCTAACTTGCAATCTTGGCACGATTACTGCTATTGATTTTCAAGGTCAATGTGAAGAGTGGATGTGACGATGACCAAGGCCTATTATGTGCACAGTGCTACATCAATACTGTTCTAACACAAACTTGAAATTCCACACGATTCCTTTTGAGGTCGAAGGGTACAAAACTTGGGTGGTGGTTGACTCAGATTTGAGTTTCAATAGCCATATTAAGATTCTAAAACATTGCGAGTTTCAGAGATGATGCAGTAGAGCTCACTCATGCTCTACTCACCAGTAGAGTGGACTATTGCAGTAGTCTTAATGTCTCCTCCTTAACCCTATAGACCTGCAGTTTTTCCAGAATAATGCTGCTAGAACTGAATCATCACTGCACTGACTCCTGGTCTCTTACTGAATAGATATAAAGTACTTATTATTCTAAACTTAATGGTCTCGCACCAAAATACATTGAGCCTCCTTTTAAAATATACCAACCAAGCAGAGCCCTTGGAACTGAATTATCAGCCGATTGAACCTTGGGTCAGGACTAAACGGGGAGAAGCGGTGTTCAGCTAACATGCTGCACACAGGTGGAACAAGTCCCTAATCTGGCCACACTTCAGGCTAAGCTTAACACTGCTGTCCTCATGCTTTGGAGTCAATCTAGTTAGGTCTATCTTTATTATGTAAAGCACCCTCTGAATTTACTTGTGTACAAAAGGTGCGCTATAAATAAACTGACCATGACCTTTTGCAGGCCATCAAAGGTAAATACTCTACTTCAAAGCAGATGAGGATTGCCACCATCCCACAGCTGAAGTCTTTACTGGTGAAGGACCTAGCAAAGCAGCTCGCCCAGTGAGAGGACTTGGTTTATGGCACCATGTGCTGACTTGTACAGATGTAATTTAAGATCTTTACATGGCTGAGGGATCAGCACACGTAGGGCTGTGACATTGGTTTGTATGATTAGCCAGCTGAGATTGTATACTTAACTGACATTTCCCAAAGCATGCTGCAAGGTTTAGTTTTCTGAAAGCATGCCCGACAAACTGGCAGTTCACTCTTTATCAGTGTATTAAAATTGACTTGCTCTTAGTAAACTGAACACATCACACTAGCTACTTAACATGAGATTCAGTCAGCCACTAATAATGTAATATTACACATTTACAGCATGACTCACTTTCATAATGAGTTGACAAATCCTGCATGTGGAGTATCCTCGACCACAATACACCTGTCTCTGCAAGTTCTTCAGTTTATTTGCTGCCAAGCAGTTGAGTTAAACTTGCTGCATGCTTTCAGAATTGTCAGCCAAGTAAAAAGGTCCAGTGGACAGGTGACAATTGTTAGGCTTTTATAATGGAGTGTGTGTGTGTGTATAATGTACAGCAATACTTTTTATATTTTTAATTTTTTTGTTGTTGTTTTGAGCAAGTATTAAATGCTTTAGACCAGAAATGTGCTCCCTTGTCATGAGTATTTGTCACCACTAGAGACTGCTGCAAGTCTGAAGATGTTTGCTGTTGAGCTTCCATGTTTTATTGAGCAACACATGTTCACATTTACAGTAAATTCTGCAAGGCACAACCACTTTCATGAAGATAATTGCTTGTTTTATGCTAAAGATTAGTTGACACAATTTCTCTGAACTCTGCACACGTAACACTTGATTGCACTGGAGCAGGGTTGTTTTTGTTTATTGCAAGTAACAAAGTTCATTGCTTTATTTTCATGCCAACTCTGAACAGCTTATTCCCAATATCAGGGAAAATTAGCTACTAATAGGTTTTTGGAAAGTATTCTTCATATTACTCAATGTTAATCACCCAATTGGTTACTAGGTGAAACATGGCTGCCAAAAATATCAAGTCCAAGATTTGTAAGAAACAGTGCTGACAATCTGCTTAACTATAGCTTGTGAACATTTTGCTCATTGCTGAGAAAGGGTTTGACTACAGAGTGGCCTTTATTTTATTATTTTTATCCTGGACAAAATTTGTTAATTTTATTCTGACCCAGCTGCTGTTCAGTACAGAGGGGCTTTGAGACCTCTCCCATCCATAAAGGTTACAGTGTTTCACTATCGCTCCTAGTTATTGAGCTCTTGACACAATGAATTACATCAAAGTCAAGGAGTAAGGTTAGACATTGACAAACCATGCATCATGCTCTTTCAATGTGCATACATTCTGAACCTCAAACTGAGCTGTTCCCAGAAGTCAATGTAAACTGAGTTCTCTACTTGACTAAAATTGACCGGGGTTGGGGGTTCCTGTGAAAATTCCCAAAGGACTTTCCAGTCCAGTCCCCCCTAACGCATTTCATATGAAGGTTCCAAACTCTTACACATTTATAAATATTTAGTGCACTTGATCTTTTGCAATCAAACTACCCATATTAGAAAAATTCAGAGGGTCTAAGATGGCCACCTTACCAGCAGTGGCAGAAAAAAAATCCTAAAAACTGAAATACCACAGTGTAAAAACAAAGTAAAAATCCTGCATTTGAAACAATAGTACAAAACAAAGTACCTGTGAGGAAGTGACACATTTCACTTTAATGTATATCATATTGTGTATTTCATGTTGCAGCTAACAAGTGATCAAATAGATGTAGAGTAAAAAGCAATATTTGCCTTTAAACTGTGAGAAAGGTGCAGTATGAAGTAGCAGAAAAAGTACAGAAGCCTTAGAATTGTACTTAAGTACAGTACTTGAGTAAATACAGATCAGCAAAGAGTGAAACTGTCTATGCTCACTAAACCAAAAGTGTTGGGATAATCTAAGGATAATCACCTTTATTGGCCAAGTATGTTGCACACCAGGAATTTGTTTCCGGTACAGAACCAAGGGGCGCCTCCCTGCCAGGCCTAGAGTTTTATTGCTGGTCAGTTCAAGTGCAAAGTATGATTTGTTTCTGGGAATCCTAGTGGTCTGGTTCAGAACCTGTCACTTGCAAGATCCAAAATCACTTAAATCTTTATCAACGACTCTGATCAGGTGAAATCTCTAAGTAAAATACAGCTATCTATAACACACAGTTAAAATGGAAAGAAAAAACATTTCAATATCCCTAATCCCAAGGCCTTGACTTACCTCTCCACACAGGCACTTTTTTTTTTCTTATTTGAAAGGAAATAACAGTTTGAGAAATCTGTCTTTTGTACCTGTTCATTTAAAGGTAAAAAAGGGCTCGTTATTCTGTGTGGTTCCTTCATCATGACTCACTGAGCTGGAGGTGTTGCCCAGAAAACGGATAATATTTATTACAAGGTTACTCCCACATGGGAGCAAAATGTAAGTTTTTGTCGCAGAATATATTTTATTCCAGTAAAGGATAGTTACTCATTTGTTTTGGTCCTGTGATGTTGTAATCCAGAATATCACTGGGAAACATTTTATGTGTTCAGCTTTGGCCCTCTCCGTACATACAGCATATAGGTCAAAATTCTTTGGTAATCAAATTTAAAGGTTTTCTAAATACCGTAGTAGTGATGAAGAAAACTCTGGAGCGCTGAATAAATAGAAAGGAGCAGTGTGGGAGATGGTTAAGTTTCCGAGCATTTGACACGGTTAAAATGGCACCGTCTGCTGCTTGAAGTAGATATGCTTGGCTGAAGCATATATGAGACCTGAGGAAACAATCAGAATATTCATGCTTTTATTATTGTTTTGTCTCATTTTGTATACACACAATATGTACACATGCATATACTGTGCATCTTGCTGCAATACTTTGAAAGGCTGATGTCATGTAGTTTGAAGCATAGTGTCACTATTTAAAATGCTTGCATGTGTTACAATAAAAGGAATAACATCGGATATTTTATATTTTTGATTCTTTCAAATTAATATCACTATTGGCCTGACATTCAGTATTCGTTAAGCCCTACTATCAAATCTATGTATTTGGACACTGTGTGCATTACTGGAAAGCAGTAGGACATTGGCACTGCAGAGGTTTTGATTTGTCATAGTGGGGAAAAAGCACAGATGTTACTAATAACATTAAAGACTGCTCTGTTCTGTTTAAGTTTGGTTTCCGGGTCCAGAAATAGTAAAGTAGCTAAAATGGAAGTCGGCCATTATTCATTTTTCAAAAAAGGCCTATGAGCAAGACTGCTTTATGGTAACACTGGAGTTTAGTTAACTTACTCAGCAAAAACATCCCAATCTGGTTATTTTATCCATGAATGTTTTCTCCATTTACAGAAAAGTGGCTCTATCAAGAAATGTGATGTTAACTGAAATTAGACGTTTGTCATTAGTTGAGCTCACATCCATGGGTGTAGCCCATCACCAGCTCCATCGGTTGAGTCTTTAGTTTTTGTAGATGTCATATAAACTACAGATGCAAAGGCTCCTCATAACTCATTACTCCAATTACCATCCAGCCACAAGTATTTAAAGCTAATGGACAGCGCACTTTAAGCCATTCACAGCTGACACCCTGGGGGAACCAGGCCTGCCTTATCTATCGTCCCATTCCCTGGAGGATTCCCAGAGAGCTTTCCTGTACAAGACCACCTGCCATCTGCATGATGTGAGTCACTGAGTACATCATCCGGATCATAAGGCCATCACTCCTAAAGGTCTGCCGGATAACAGCTTTGATGCTGTAAGGGCCAAGACTCATCTGCTGCTGAATGGACAAAACATGATTTGGTTCATTGGAAGTTTCTGTTCATTGGAATTCATGCAGTGCAATATGAGGAGTCAGTTCCACAGAAAAGATCAGTGTTGCTTTCATTGTCTTGTGAGGTAGAAACATGGCCAAACCATGCTTTGGCAGTTAGAAGTTTTATAATGTTTGACAGTTCAACACAATGATGAACTGAGATTCTAGGTTGTATACCTGTTACCTGACTTAATGACATACAGGCAATAATGCTGACACCTTTAGAGCACATCCCTTTCATCCACCCAGCTCTGAACCATCTGTTGTTTTCCACAGACACGTGATAATTACTTTCAGTATTGTGGAAAGCCAGGCTTTTAAACCCACAGATCATGCTGAGAATTCATACTTGAAGGCTGAGGTCATGACTGGGCAGCCATATCAGTTTACAAGACAGATTCCTCCCATGTGGGGCTCCAAACCATACACTTGCAGCTGCCTGGAAGACTATTTGGCCTTTCTGACCAAAATTCAGCTGTGTGACATTTACTATGATGGAAAATTGAACATGGTTGTGCAGTTCAAGACACTCAAACACTGAAGCACCAGGTTTGCTGTTAACCTTAATATTTGTAATGAGTCAGTTCACCTAAACATATTTCATCACTCCATCAGTCCTTATGGTATCTAGCCATGTAGATAGGTTTATTTTTATGTGCAGGGTTAAAGAACAGTGTTTACACTGCAGATGAATTTTATGAGGCTGTTTAGGCCATAATTGATGCTTTCTCACACAGACATAACTATACTCTTCGACACACACTACTATGTCCTTTTACATGTACAGTCATACTCCTACTCAGTCATACACACATCATCATAATCTCACACGTCCACTACACTTCCACATAGTAGTGGACTCTCATACAATTTTATTTGTGGTGCTCATTAACATTAAAATAAAAGTACATTTGAAACTAACAGCAGCACATCTTTTACCAGACTCTGATTAGATTCACTCTGGTATTAGACATACAGTACAAACATAATGGACACTGGACAAAGACCGACAGCTACACAACATGACCTGATTTGACTGAATGTTTCCCACACTGACTCAGATCTTGGGTTAGGCCTTTTATTCTAGGGATATCTACACTTGTGTACTGTAACTCTCAGGTTAGGCATGGAGACTATAAATCTTTGACAGAAAACCTACTGATTTTGGTGATCCCTTGACCTTTTCATCTGGTGCAAACAGACTACACTAGTATGGAAAGCATGATAAACCTGTCTTCCAACATGTTGCTGTTGTCAGTTTGAGCATATTAGCATGCTAATGTTAGTATTTAGCCCACAGCACACCTAGACCTCTGAGTGCAACCTCTCAAAGCCACAAACATGGGCAGAGAGTTTGGTTTTGTCCCTTGCAAGTCAAATGGGCTTCACAGAAGTGCAATACTAAATCGCTGTATTCCCTTGGTGGGTGTGAAACTTCAGTCATATGATAACAGTTGTATGTAGAGGATTTT